ATAGACTAGAGCACACCGCCAATCTGAGAACTTCTACACCTATCATACGTACTGTAAATATATTGAATTCCACAGCCATCCATTTCCCTCTTTGCTTTAATTGAACTTCCGTCACCACCCCGACCCACTGATGAAGTATACGGTGCTGCACGCAGTGCATACCAACAGCGGTCACTCCCACCTGCCCTCATCGTATCACTGTCGCTTTTCCGAATCCTTGTTTGGCATTTGGTGCCCTTTCAACATTGATTGCGTACCCCAGTGCTCTTTCAATCAGACCTTCCTTAAGCTCCCCTAACATTTATTTTACCACGAGACCAATGGCTCAGAATCGGCTGGATCAAAGATGCGGAAAAATAAAAAGCTTTGGCTTATCGACGACCTCTTCGGCGCTCCTATAACGCCGTTAGCCTTGCGGAGCATTCCAAAGCAACGGGCTTTTGTTCTCTCGCGGTTTTACGGGATCCCTCGCGAGCCCGCTTGGGGGGTTTCGTTCGGCCTACAGATTTTGCTTGTGTTTCTGTTATATGATACCAACCTGGTAGGCAAGCTGGAAGCCTCAGGGCTCCACGGACTCCTGTGTGCTCCCCGCCAGACACCTTCTTGCCCCCCCCCAACCGTCAGGTTCCTGAGCGCGACTGCCGACGGTGGTACGTTTGGTAGGATGGTTTGGGTCGATATTTCCCCATTGCGTTTTATTTGGTGCTGGGTGATTATTTCAGATTGATGGTAACTTACTCTCTTTATCAACAACATGGCCGGTTTGCCAACAGTGGATAGAGTTGTGTCAGTATATAACCTGAGACCTTTCTAATGCCCTCCACACTTTCGCCATCGCACAGCTCGTGGAATTTCTATGCCAGGAGCTCCTGCAGCTTCCTGTGTTTTATTCAGGCGATTTGCAGGGCTACCGCCGGCCCGGCACATGTTCCCCTTGTGTGGGGCGATGTATCCCGATCCCTGATCCGTTGCTGACCCCTCTTCTACTCACCTTGCCTATAGGCGAACAGACAGTCTCCCGCGTTCCTTATGTTTCATCACCCCTTCTACTCGCCTCCCCCTGCTCTCCTCTCTTCCTTTTCTTTCTCTCTTCTCTCCTGCTCACTACCCCTACTGTTTACCTAATACTCCTTTATTCTCCTTAATTCCGGACTTCTAACCTCTTTCCCAAAATCTTTCTAGAGAATAACGAACGGCTACATATCCGGGGGTAAACAGATCCTTCGCCTTTTATCCAATAAACAAAAGGGATAATAAGGAAAATTACAACTGAGTTGAACTAACTTCCTGAGGCATGAGCTAAATCTGTGTGATTGTGATAGACTAGTGAGCACCGATGTTTTGTAGTATGTACACTAGGCAACAGCTCATTGCCCCCGACCCGTCGCACGGTCTCCGGTATCGCGGTAGCATAGCCTAGTCGCTGGCACTTGTTACGGTTTTGGGGTCTGCAATATCATTGATGGGGTACGGCAGTCCGGCACACCCACCAGTAGGAGCCAGGCCGGTCGTGATCCATGGCCCGCCCGGTCCTAGGGAGGATATGGCGTCAAGTCTTTACCGGTAGCTAAAGTGCGGGGAGTGGCTGGTGTACTACAGGGTCTTTTGATGTCTTAGAATTTGGGGCCGCACAGTGCCCACAAGAGAGGACGCCGGGACAGCTGCCTGCAGGACGGGCATGGAATGCTGGCGGGTAACTGGGACTTTGTTCGGGAACCTATGTTATGAATTACCTAATTAAACGGCAACAACAAGTAGCTTCTGACAAATCTGAGTAGTAAAGGAGTGAGGGGCCGCACGGAGCATAACGGGCGGGAAGGAGTACGGCATGATTTTGTATTCAACATGAACTGGTATATTGAGTGAGAAAGAGGAAAAGAAAAGAAAAGAAAGAAGCAATAGAAAATAAAACAAAACACGGGAGGAAGTTAAAAAAACGCCCAACACTTCCCCGGTATTGTACTCAAACAGTTCGCCTGCCACTTATGGCTTCTAGTTTGTCATTCTTGCCAGTTCTACATGGTCTACCATTGTCCCCGCGTAGATTCCTACGGTCTTCCGCGCCGGTATGATAGAAACTAGTAACCCACTCCCGCCACCTCTCCCCCGGCCGCACCGCCTGTAATATGATGGCTCACTTTGTCGGCATGTCACCCCTGAAGAGGGCTGTAGCGCTCCGGAAACGACGGAGGGCACAGATAGCGGAGTGGGGCCTCGTATTGTCTGCTCTTCTTGGCTGTGCCCACCGTAGTGCCCGTGATGCCGCCCTGTTCTCCACGAACTCTCATACCGTAAAAACTCGAATAGAAGAAAAATGTGCTTTGAAGTCTGTTTAAAGTGAGTCATGCCAAGAGGCCAGGATGGTTATGCCAATACAAATTACGAAACATAAGACATATAAAAATCTAAAAATACATGTTTTTTTTTTTAATTAATTTCACCGATGATATATTCTCCATCAAGCTCATCCTGAGCAATATCTAACTCCAACCCCTCATTATGATCCCCCACCCCTTCGTGATCCTCCTCAACAACCCCACTGCCAACCGCCGCCCCTTGTGCCCATCCCTTTACCCCCTCAACGAACAAGGATGTCTCAAGACCCTTGATCGAGATCTCGGAATCTCGACTTCCATCAATCGGAAGAGAAAGGCCAACAGCAGTAAAGGCTCTCTCAACCACATGCGCATGGTTGAGGGAAAACCTTTCCCAGGCCTCTCCGACCGCCCATGTGCAAAGCACCCGCCTCCTTCCTATCATGCTTCCTGCAAGCCTTTCTCTCTCTGACAATATTCTCTCCTCCTCCTCCTCCGCCACATCCACCATTTCCTCCAATACTTCCTATCCCGGAAGTAATATTAGTTACAAGTTCGATAAGTTTCTCCTTTCCTTTTTCTAGTGGAGGTTTGGTGGTACTAACCTTAAGAATGTCTTTAAAGGGTTGGTTGATGGATATATCGAGGGGCTGCACAAGGCCAGTGCAGCCGCCTGGTATCACACTGACTGTGATATCATGCGCGCACATGGTATCTAAAACCTCATCGGTTTGGTGGGCACCAAACATATCCAAGGCCATGAGTGTTGGCCGGCCGCCGAGTGCAGGTATAACCTGTTCATCAAGCCATTCAACCAAATTGGCTGAATTGGCGTAGGCCTTCAGGTTGAATTTTACAACAACCCGGGGGTCATACTGTTGCTTTTCAGCAACAATGGTTGCTCCGACTCCTTGCCCTCGGAAAAAGATGAGGGGCTTCACTCGAGGTATTGCATCGGCAAATATAGTGAGTTGAATTGTTGCTTGCCTTTTATCCCATCCTGATTGCTGACTGGCTTGAACCCAAATTGTCTTCTCACCTTGTTGATTGTAAGTACGCCCGCTTAGGTACTCAAATGGCAGCGGAGTTTGGTCCATGTTGCAGATATTACTTAATCTGTAACGACCAACCTCCGCTGCCACATCAGCTACTACTGATGTATTTTCACATCGTAATTGTGAGTTTCTTCGATTGAATCTCATCCAATTTACTAATGCTTCGACATAGTCTCTAGGCAGTTGACTGGCTTGGTTGGTAATTGCACGAAGATAGATTTTGTGCCAAGATAAGAAACCCCGAAACCAACCATTTGAAAATCGAAATTGGCTAACACTTATACTTGGGTAGGTTTCTGCATAAAGCCGTTTTGCGTTTTGCCGAAACCAACTTCGGCGGACAACTCTTCCTTCTGCTCTGCGTTGCCGAAAGCACTCGTAGAGCTTTCGCTCCATATCTACCCACTTCCGCCCCCTTCCACCTCCTACTAACCTACGAGCCATAGCTGACGCTTCTAGGTAATTCCCCTCCCTCTCCTCCTTCTGCCATCTCCCTAGATTCCCTAGTGGAATCTTGAATCTTGTGGCCGCCTCTTGCAATGTCGGCTCCCGAAACCTACTTGGTCCGGTAGGTATTGAGGCCATCCGAAGCCAACAGAGCACCCGAAGCTTATAGTTGATCGTATAAGACTTCCGAGGATTCTCAATAGCATTTGGGGCTGCTCGTAGACTAACTTTGAGTAGGTTTCGCTTTGGTCCCCGCTTCTTTTGCTCTCCGGCATAGAACTTGCCTGCTGGTAGTTCTGGAAGACTAACTGTAACCTTAGTGCGAGCGCTGCCTTTACTTCGGTTTCCTCAAGGTGCCATTTGGTGTATAAGTATTGTGAATATCGTGTATAGTATTTCTCTTTCCTTACAGTGTATGAGTAGTATAGTATTCTCTTTATTTATATTATTATTTATTTCTATTTCTAATGACTCTAAATTGTATGTTTACTATTATTTATATACTCGTATTCTTCTTACACGATTATGACTCTGTGGGAGATGAGATGAGGTTGAACTCCTGGGTCAAAGCGTTTGTTTTGAATGAGTCATGGCCTTACAGTTGACGCCATTCCCCCTTTTTTTAGCAGCTGAGCTTAATTCAACCCTTTAGCACATTTTTCTTCTATTCGAGTTTTTACGGTACTCTCCTTCGAGTCGCAGCGCCGTAGCTAGGGTGTTGGCACACACCTGGGTCCTGGGATGGTCTGGCCCAAGAATCGCGCCCCCCCCCCAGTTCATGTTGGTTCATGGTCTCTGATTCGAGAAGCACACGGGAAAGCGCAAGATCAAAATGATGCTCGCGAGTGTTGTGTGTCCAAAGGCTTAGTGAGTGAATGGGTCACAACTACTGGAGATTAATGTTCTTGGTAGTTATATACAAGTACTATATTTCTACATAATCTGCAACCACAAATCTTGTTTGATCAAGTTAAGACTGCGTCTCGAAAACCCGCTTTCACGGCTTCATTCCCAATAGCAACGATTCTGGTCTCCTTCCCCACCCCTCTTATCGCCGTGGCTATCCAGGAGAATCCCAGACGTGGGCCAATTCTGGTAAACTGTATAACCGGGGAAATGCACTATAAACGTTCATTTATTAGATCGCCAGCCATCTAAAGTGGAGGAGAAAGCATAAACACACCCATCCCGAAAGCGCCCTTCTCCCCTTCACCCACTACAGCGAGGGCCATAGTCGGGGGAGAGCTCGACAATGCTGATGGCTGTAACTACTCGAGTGCCCTCACTGGCGTTGAATCTCTCTTCTACTGACAAGAGCATACCCGCCACCATCCAAGCTCCTAGCGTAATAAAATATATTGCGATCCCACTCCGGCCGCCAGTGGCAACCCTCCTGGTGCCGTCGTTCCGAAGGGCCGTGGTCGCGTGCCCACCCCCGGCTTTCCACCATGCGGCTACCTTTTATGAGACTACCTCCAGTTCAAATACCGGTACCCAACCCGCGTTTATTTCTCGTCTGGGGGGATGCCGAAGGTCTCCATTGCCCTCTACAACTCTACGTGACCGCATATCCGGGTTGCCTTCTAGGACAGCAGCTGTTGAGAGGATGCGGAAGCATCCGCGTCTGCCACTGGTGAATACTCTTGTGCCGGAGGGGCGGAGGGGAGTGGTTGAAATGGGTATTGCGCTGGGGTAGGGAGGTGGCGGGAATTTTGTGATACGGTTTATGTACCGCAGGCGGAAGGTTGAGCCAGGGCCCGAGGAAAGGAGAAGGGGGCGGTGGGAGTGAAAGTGGAGGGTTGATATCATTGACTAGCGACTAGTTAACTGCTTGGTGCTCAATAGAAGAGGCAGGGGGAGATACCAAATCGCCACCAATGCCTACCGATATTTCCATCCCTCAATCTCACTATCGTCAACCTCCCTAGAACCTTGCGGCTCCAGTTTGTCGTGCTGCTTAGAATCTGTCCAAGACTAGGCGAAGATATTACCTCCTCCTAATCACCATCTTCCTCCTCCGCCCCTGCCCCGCGTATGTCTTCATGACTACTCCCCACAGCTGCCCTGTGTGACCTCACCCTCTCCCTATCCGGAACACCAACGTGTAGGATACCGAGACCCCTTCCTATGAATGAGGTCATCAGTTCTAGTGTTGCAAGGCTTACGCGCCGGCACCTCACGGACAAAGAACTCGCCACCCTGGATCGCTTGTGGGTCTGCCCCCACACCCTCGCCCCCGCCGCCGACCAACACGGTCCCGGCTCCTTCGTCACTAGCGTTAGGAGATCAGCCGTCGCTGGGATTGGGGGATCTGTCGTTAGCTTTGTTCACCCAATCTGCGAGCCCTCTTGCGCCTCCGGGGATTAAGACTAGAGGGGGACAACGAAAAATCCACCGAAGATGTCTTGGCAAACTGGAATTCAATGTGGCCGGTTTTGTGAGCCTGATCCCTGTTGTCCCCATTCACGCAACACGTGATTTGAGCCGCAAAAGTCTAAAAGGTGACCGCATGAAAATTATTAACCCAGGTGTTCAGGACAACTAGCTACACCACGAAGTCGCCGTAACTTTGCCAGCTTTAGTTTGTATATTTAACCCTGGATGGTCAGATACTCATCAGAGAGAGAAAGAAACAGGTTCCTAGAAGCTTCTATATAGTCCATGGTTATTAATTGTATTACTTGGTAATTGTTATCGTCAAGTATAAACTAGAGGCCGCACCCTCACTACTGGACCTGTGTGGATAACCCAATCCTTACCTGCCGCTCTTTATTCTAAACAGGCACTCCACCATACTACATTTACCCCAACAAAGCGAAGAACAATCAAAGTAAGAGACATGTCTAGAACACAAGGACTAGGTATTTCCAACGGAACTGAGACTCGGGTACGGACATGGAAGGCCGCACTGTAGGGCATTCCCGCGGCCCGAGCTTGCTCCCTTCATAGCAAATGAAGAAATCAATTTGGCATGCCATTTGATCACACAAGAAAGAGGCATTGATACCTGTAATCTCCAGCGGCCCGGTCACCCGCATTCATGCCGAGGAAGTGCTGCAGAACCAAGCATAGCCTCGGACTATGCTAACCACTTGGAGCAAACTAGTATGAGACGAATAACCAGGTTCTCCTCACTGCTGAGGTACGCACACCCCAGTATTAGATTCACCCTACATCAGCGATGGGAAAGGGCCAGGTCCCCTTCAGATTTATGATATTTTAATCCAAGATTCTACCCAGAGGGGCGGGCATCCAACAGAGCGGGCAAACAGAGAGTCCAGCCAAAGTGATTGATTGATCGAACCTTAACATAATTTACGGGGATGCGGCTCACATCCTAGCTTGGAATGCATCCCGGTAGTTAGCTTACCGAATACTATGATTTTACACATTCTGGCTCAATATAACATTTTGCTGAATCCAATCTTACGTGGTAATATGATAATTAAAGCCTGACTTACTTGAATCTCTGAAAACTCTAATGTACTCATAGAGTCAGTTAATTGAGACGACTCCCATGTGTAGTAACCAGGGTGTTTTGGACAGTGTCTTTCTGTGGAGGAAAAAGTGAGGAGACATCCACAAGAGGCGATAAAGTCAGACATTTGAGTGCAAGGTAGCCTGACTTACCCTTGGACCCTACCCAAGTCCCAGTATTTTATGATATTATAGGATAGCTACTTTACCCAGTATGATAGTATATCCGCTGTCCACAATCTTGTTTTCTCAATTACCGTATCCAATGCTTCGATTTGATATTTTTCTTTTACCCACACCAAGAGTGCTATACATAGGGTTATAATAATTATATAATATATAACTATAAAGTTATCCTGAAACTTAAAACGATGTTAAGCCACAGGGTTGTGTTTGAGCCATCGGGCCATTATCATAGTAGCGGTACACCTATGATCTCTCCCAGCTCTCCCATTCCCGATTTTCTCAATTCCCAGGGCAAAATGGCATGTCCACTTGCAAAGCAAATCTCCTCCCATCCAACCAAGGTTAGGGAAAGTGGAGCCTAACCCTTCGCCTTACTGTCAGCCATTTTATTTCGGCGGGTGCCCATATGTCATGCGACCTAGCCCAATGTCGCTCTCCTAACAACGGGAGCACATATCTCACAATATGACATAGGGGTACCTCTGGTGTGCAGGAGATAGATGACTGCCGGGTATGGACCCCAGTGGAGATCCGGAGTGCAACTTTATATCTGCGGAGAGTCTCCAACTGCCTCGCCAAGAGAACAAAAAGTGATGCAACGGTCATTGATACAAAATTATTGGGATGCAGTGCGCTTGCTGAACTATATGGTCAGGATGGAGCCAAGAGGAAACGTATGGGGGATTCAATGTTCTTGATGATACAGACATGGCAGAAGGGAACAGCTTGACATCAGATAATAAGTGTCAATATGCAAGCGATTTACCCACGGTACATTTCAGGAACACAGCGAGTGATATGAAACGTCCCCTCCATTAGCACTATCCTCAATCCTTTGAACCAGCAGCAATATTTTCTATTTCTCTGGGTTCCAAGTCTACACCGGCCGGAGATAGCATCAGAGATTTGCATAGTATTATAAACATTGGATAGGTGAAGAATAGCGACAGCGAAACAAATGAACGAATAACCTATTGTGAAACTAAATGAATTGCCCAGCTTTCTTATACCAAACGATCGCACAACTCACAAACGGGGAAAAACTCTTCACTTCGTCTGCTGACTCTTTTACAATTGCACTCAACTTACTGATTGTGAAGGCGGGGGTGTATATCAACCGCAAAACAATGTGTTGGAAATCGCGAGGCCCTGCTCCGCATGCTCTCAAAATGGTTGCTTTGTTCGTATTGTCTCTGGGAGCGATCTTTGGCTTCCAGCGCGCTATGGCTTCCGGCGTGCTATGGCTTCGGGTCCGCTATGGCTTGGGGCGTGCTTTGCCTCACGTCAGTGTAGTTTGGCTTTTTTGGGAAAGTCCTTTTGCCGAGGGGATGCGCGGGAGTCTTGGAGAAATGCCAGAAGCACAGCAGGAAGGCTGTAAGGAAAAGGCAGAGGATGGTGGAGAGTCGGGGAGTTTGATGCTTGGAGTATTGCATATGCGGAGGCTATGGATAGGGGAGTGTCTCTTTCCTTTGTTAGTTTTTCTTGCTTGCTAGTGTCTAGGAGATGTACCTGGGAGCCTAGGACTTTGCTGTTTTGTGGTTAATGTTAGACTTTTACGTTTTCCTTTTGAACTGCTCACCACTTCTATAGCCACAGTTCACCGATGTGCGACACAACTACAACTAGCGGTTCCTGATTGTTTCACCACCTTAACCTCAGACACATCTCGAACCACTACCAGCATATCAACCACATCCAAGTCAAACATCCACTTGTCTCACGACGAAACGCAGTAAGGGCAATCATGACCGGAGAATCTTATGGTCCTCGGCCCTACTCTTCCACCCTCGGCACATCAGTTCAGTATACCCACGGCTACTCATCTTTTGCCTCGGGTATGATATGGATAAGCATGGGTGTATCGCAATACCATTGGAATTGGATAGGAGACTTGGTAGGAGAAGAAATAGGTGGATACTATGTGATGGAAAGTATATAAAGAAGCTGGTTCTTCTCGTTCCTTTTGTCCTTAAGTTAACAAGCCGAGTTTCCTTCACGTCGTTTTCTATCACGGTTTAGTCATTCGTTTCATATACCTTTCCTTCTTTGAATTCTTCTTGATATTTCTATTCGCTCGTACCAATAAACCTCTCGTGTTGTTCGAATCGTCAAGGATTAGATCCGCTGTGCCCCACCAACCTATAAATCGTACAAAAGTTAATCTATATCATACTGCTGTTATTACAGTTAGTCTAGTATGCTCGATAGAGTGAGTTAGACGGAGTGAAGAGTCCCCCCCCTGGTGAGTTGTGCGATCGTTTTGTATGTGAGATCCTGGCGCTTTGTTTCGTATTGTTTCCTAGTGTTCATTTTATGCCATTGCTTGCACCGTTTCACCGGGTGATTAGTTTCACAGCTTATCATTCGCTCGTTCCGCCATCCCTTCGCCGTTCATTCACTTTTAGTGTACCTTTCATTCACTCATTTCGCTATCGTGATAGCCTTCGCCAGTCGCGACATTTAAAACAACGAAGTCCTCATTTTCCAGGTATGATAATTCTCCCACACACTTGCAAACAAGAAAGGCTAACAAAGTAAAGACAAACTCTCACTACCCGTAGCATTTTGCCTTCCTTCCGGCCTTTCTGCTTTCCTTCTAGCCTTCCTACTGTCCTTCCGGTGGATCCATTTCTCCAACTCTCACTCGCAACCCATGGCAAAAGTGCTTTCCCGAAAAATACAAACTGCACAGGCAGAAGGAAAAGTGTGCCCGAAGCTATAGCGTGCCCGAAACCAAAGCGCGCTCTCAGAAACACTGACTACAAACAAATTATTTTGAGAGCATGTTGAGCAGCACCCCACGATTTTGAACACATTGTATTGCGGTTGATATATACCATGCCTTTACAATTAGTCAGTTGAGTGTGAGAATGGGGGGGAGAGCAGACGAAGAGAAGAGTTTTCCCTCGCTCATGAGTTGTACGATCATTTTGTGAGAAAGCTTCGCGTTTCGCTTAGTTCCACAACGGGTCATCCGTTCGTTGCACCCTTCGTTCATTCGTTTCTCCGTCACTTTAGCCTTCCCGTACCGGATGTTTAAAATGCTATTCAATTTCTGATGCTGTCTCCTGCTGGTGCAGAGTTGGAACCCAGAGAAATGGAAAATATTGATGCAGGTTCAAAGCATTGAGGATAGTGCTAATGGAGAGGAAGTTTCATATCACTCTCATTGTCCCTCAAATGTAATGTGGATAAAATCAGTTATATGTTAAATTTAAAAATTATTATCTGATTGTTAAGCTATTCCCTTCTACCATGACTGTATCATCAGGAATATTGAATCCCATGTGTTTTTCCTCTTCGCTCCATCTTGATTGTGTAGTTCAGCAAGTACACTCAGTCCTAATAATTCTGCATCGAAAACCACTTCCTCCCATTTTTCCCTCCCGATGAGATAGTTGGTGACTATCCGCAGATATGATGTTGCATCTCCGGTCTCTACTAGAATCCATACCTGGCAGTCATCTGTCCACCACCCACCAGAAGCGCGGTTTTGTCGATTGCAAGATGTATGGTCCCATTGCTCAATGCGTTTACGAAGTGACATTTGGATAGGTCGCACGACATACAGGCATCCACCACAATAAAATAGCCAACAGTAAGGCGAAGGGCTCGGATCCACTTTCCCTAAACTTGGTTGGATGGGAGGAGATTTGCTTTGCAATCAGACATGCCATTTTGGCCCGGGAATTGAGAAAATCA